CTCTTTATAAAATAATGATTTACTACGATAACTACAAAGAACAGTTAATTATGACTCAGAATGATGCTTTGTTTGTTTTAACCGTAATTTTTTAAACTCAGATAATTAGCAAAAACTATTATTAATATATATAACCCATTCATTTCGTGTCCGTCCCGTAACCGTTTGATAACGGACACTAGAGGCGCCCCTATCGTGTGTCATATTTCAAACATTCAAATTAACAATTTTAATTATTATTATTCATTTGGCCCATAAATTATTATTTGGTCAATATAACAATATAAATAATTCAGTATATTTGTAATAGGAATTTATTATTTCAGGGACTTATATCTCGCGAAGGATCGTGAGTAGGGGTATGGTTCCTTTGACTTTATTGTTTGCACAGGGGCTACAGTTTGGGGGGGTCGCCACCTCTTCATTTGGAGGGTAAATCTTACCATTGGGACTTTAACAGAGCTGTACAGCATATTGATAGGAACAAGAAAGTCAAAGGAACCGTGCCTCATGGAAATTTGTAAATAACGCCCACTAGGGGGGGCGTCCCAGGCTACTAGTAGTTTAAGAAATTATAGTTTTAGTCATCAGATTCATTCTCTGTGTTCTTCATAATCTTCAATAATGTAGATTGAATAAAAAAGGAATAATATGGCTTATGTTATGGAAATATTATGTTGGGTTATGTTAAGGAATGTTTTCGGATATTAGAATTTTTATGGGCAATCAAGGATCTATTCATATCATTCTATAAGAAACCATCACATTTTGATAATCACAATGTTTGTTTTCAATGTGTAAATTATTTAGATATTGTTCAAAGTAGAAAGATATGAATGATGAAATCAAGATATTTGTAAGATAGTTTAGGAATTATAATTTTCTAAATTGATGTTAATAAGATATAATCACATAATTTTGTCTTACAAAATTAATTGATAATGGTGCAATCCTATATTGATCAAGTTTTTTTTTATATATTAACTAATATTAAATTAAAAATATAAATCATTTTATTTCTGAAAAGTTAAAAGTGAGAAGGCACAAGTATATTGGAATATATAATTAATAACATATTTATTTCATATGATCAAGAATGAAAAAGAAACTGGGCACACAACAGTTAGTATTTACTCAGCATGTGCAGATAATTAATCTTATTTTGAAATTGGTATCAAGAATGAGTTCTGATATTAAACTTTTAATTTACAGCCTTTAATCTTAAGTTTTTTTTATATTTTAAAATTAATATTTAAAAGCCATTATTATTTGAATCTTTATGTGAATTATATTGAAGAAAATGTCACTGATTATACTGCCTAATAAATATTAAAATTTTAATTTAAATGAATATTTTTTTTTTAATATAAGAACCAAAATTAAAATTTCAACATAATAGAAAATAACAAAATACAGTAAAATCTCTTCAAAACATATCTGCTACAAAAGGAACCTGCCTAAATAAAACATAAGCCTCAGAATGGAAAGATTTTCTATATAAAATACTATAAACTGGGAACATGTCTGATTAGAAACAGAAGACTGTTTGGGTAACAATTGCATAACATAATCTGAATAAAATGGAATTTATCAGCATAACCGTAGCTAAATTAAAATTCAATTAAAATACATTCCAAGGATATTGCATCCTCTGTACACTATATGCATATTTTGGTATTTTTAACATGTCTTTGAAAGATAAAACACTTACATTGGAGGAGAAACAATTCTAAATATGAATTGTGAAAGATTTTTTCAACTTTTCTCTTTTCCTATATTAATCAAAACAACCCTCTATAGAATACAAATCTGTCATCATGGGAAAATTCTGACTGGTATTGTGGAGTTCTGTTTTAAACAGATTTTACTGTACAAACATTCAGTTTTCATATTAATGAATAGCTCATAAGTTAATTTTTATGATGGTTTCTAACATATTTATTTTCAGTGTTAGTTCAAAGTCAAGAATTGTAATCCAAATTTTATTTACTTTGTTCATTATCAGATTTACAATTGAATACATGAATGGATGAAGGTATTATGTTACAATTATTCAAAACTTGATTGTTGCATGGATGAAGGTGCAATATATTCATCTCTCACATACTATCATTAAAGATTTCAGGAATTAAACAATACTGTAATATTGTCTGCATTACACTATTTCGTGCATATATTTATACCAAAAAAAATTACATAGTAAAAATTTAAACATCAGTTCACTCAAAACTTTGATTTTCTAAGATAGCATCTTGTCATTTCTCACTCATGTCCTCAATTGTTAAATATATATTTTTGAAATATATATTCTGTTTGCAAAGAGAAAAGTATCATCATCATAAATATAATTTAATTGAAATAATGACTATATATTAAGAATAATTTATTAAAGTTAAAATTGTAAATAATTGAAAACAGAAATTTATTCTATAAAAAATGCCATTATTCTAAAATGTATATAACATTGAAAGTTGTTAAATATAAGTTGCAAGCTGCACAAGTTATAGACAGTGCACTGTTTATTAGACTAAATACAATATTTCTCTCTAAAGCAGATTTATGTTGTACAGATCAGTTTAGTTATATATACAAGGTGATCCAGAAGTTGTGTGTTATTATTTATGATTTAGTCACTTCATAGAAAGTAATAAATTGGAATCATGAATAACAACATGTAGCTGTTCCAAACTAATTTTAACCATTTTTAAAATAGTTTTAAAATATAGTTCAATTAGCTGACTTAGATTACCAAGTATATATTAAATTTTATTAATTTATTTAAATTGCATTATAATTTATTTAGTGAAAAGATGCATAACATTCTTATTTTCTTTTTATAGGCATTGCAATCAAAGATCTGATAGCAAGTTATTTTGTGTCACCTACTCTTCTTCGTGTGGTTCGTGTTGTGAAAGTTGGTCGTGTCCTCAGGTTGGTCAAAGGGGCCAAAGGGATTCGAACCTTGCTTTTTGCTCTTGCCATGTCTTTGCCAGCACTCTTTAATATTTGCCTTCTGCTTTTTCTAGTTATGTTTATCTATGCCATATTTGGAATGTCTTTTTTCATGACTGTAAAACATCGTGCAGGCATTGATGATAATTTTAATTTTGAAACATTTGGTCAATCAATGATTCTTTTATTTCAAATGTCAACATCAGCAGGTTGGGATAGTGTGTTATTAGGTATTATGGACGACAGTGATTGTGAACAAGGTTCTGAAGATGAAGGTATTGAAGGAAATTGTGGTAAACCAGGTGTGGCAGTTGCCTACTTGATCTCCTATTTAATTGTCAGCTTTTTAATTATAATTAATATGTATATTGCCGTCATTCTTGAAAACTACAGTCAAGCCACAGAAGATGTACAGGAAGGCTTGACAGCAGATGATTATGATATGTATTATGAAATATGGCAGAAATATGATCCAGAAGGTACACAATATATCAAATATGAAGATTTGAGTGACTTCCTTGATGCTCTAGAAGAACCACTGCAGATTGAGAAACCTAATAAGTACAAAATCATTGACATGGATATCACAATATGTAAAGATGATCTTATGTATTGTGTCGACATTCTAGATGCACTGACCAAGGATTTCTTTGCAAGAAAAGGTACTGCTATAGAAGAATCTGCAGAGCTTGGAGAAGTTGCTCCTAGGAAAGATGTAGAAGGTTATGAACCAATCAGCAGTACGCGTTTCCGTCAACAGGAAGAATACAATGCTCGTGTTATTCAAAGAGCATGGCGTCATTATAAAGGGTGTAGTGCTACTGAACCTCGTCAGCAACAGACTGCAATTGTTATTGAAAGTGATGGCCATGTAACTAGAAATGGTCACAAAGTTGTGATTCATTCTAGGTCACCAAGTGTTACAAGTCGTTCCACAGATGTGTGATATTTATAAACAGGGAATGGGGGCTTTCTACATCAACATTATCTACACAGAAATTGGTTGATGAATGATCGCTGACAATATCTGCATGAAGTGTATATTTTTATATTCTTTATGCACGGGTTGAGTACCAGTCTGCTTGCAACACCTGTACTTGGTTGACATAAACCAATGTTTTCCATGTTATTTTTCTAATGACTGATTAGTTGTAATTATGGTCTATTTACACTACTTGTAAATATGCAAACTAAAAAAAGGGATAAAGGTCCCATTCTTGTTGCTACAATAGGATAAATGTGGAGGCATCTAAGTTTTACTTTGTTTTATATATATTATGATTTATAGACATTTTACGGATTTTAGAATGTATTTTTTATTACATATGATGTTATGACATAACAAAGTGCTTTTATTTACAAAGTTTCCAGAGTTTAAAGGAAAAATATGTCAGAAATTACTAGAGAGTGATTGTTAAATTTGTTATTATCATTATTCTGAAAGTTTGTTTTTTACTTGTGTATATAAATTATATATATATATTATATATAATACATAAATGGGAGCAGAATTTGTACTGCTTCTCTAACATGTTAAATTTATTCAAAGGAAAGAGATGCAAATTATTTAAGTTTTTGTTACCTAATATAATTTATTTATTTTTTAGCACTTTGGACATTTAATCAATGCCAAATGAAATGAATGTTTTAACTAGAAAACTTCAGTGCCCACCATTTACACAGAATGTGAAGGATGTAAATGTGATTCCAATAGAAATATGATTCTGTATCAGTAACAACTCACAGGTGGGTTGGAGGTGGTTCTTGTTAAGTTAGCTGTTTTCAAAAACTAAATTCGAAAGATTCTGTTTAAGAACAGGGTTTCTTATAAGAAGAAATATAAAAATGTAAGGGGATCATTCCCCTTATCAGTGATAATGTATCTATAAGAATCTTCCTCAGTTTTTCTGCTTCCTAAGCTGATGGCATTAAAAATTTTGCACTTACGAATAGATTCATGTTATCAGCATCAAGCTGTGAAATTGGGTGGCAAACAACTTCAGCTATGTTACAAGAGTGTTGTTATAAAAGGAGTATACAGCTTTGAGGGTATAGGGGTGGGAAAATCAATGCTTAATTATCTCATGTCCTAATACCTCTGCACTGTACCTTTAAAAACACTCTACAAAGCTCAGTTTTCCTGCCGCTTTTAAATGAGCAGAGAAAGTGAAAGAGTGATAAGAGTAACTAATCTACAAAGTTATTGGCTGAGTTCAGAAGTTGGACTTTTGGCCACCAGACTTTGAAAAGCAGAGATTATCAAAACTCTGCAAAATCTTAAGAGATTTTATTTATCATGTGCCTTTCTGCGTTGTTACTGTTGTCACAAGAAAGCATAATCATTGCATCATAAATCAGCTTCCCACGCAACAATACTTGCTTTCTTATATCCTTTCCAACATTTTTCAAGCCATATAGATAAGACTATGGTTTCTTTTCAAAGTGCACAACATTATTTCATAAAAAGAAAAAAATGAAGCAGATCTCACCATTGGCTTGATGTCTATACTGCTAGTATATATAAAAGCTCAAGACTGCAAATAATTTATAATATCCTATACCACACTATGCATTGGATTTTATTTGAACACAACTAAAGTGGTGGTTGTATAATTAATTCTAAATGTCAAGAATATAAAGGTTTTTGTTAGTTTCTTCTCTTCTGGGAAAATCATCACTCCATGTAAAAAAAATCAGAAAAATCTAGCATAAATTATCGCCTGTTATACATAGCAGGAGCTAGTATAGAATTATTACCTAACTCCAATCCTAGTAACTTAGTTGCCACTGAAATAGGCACTCTAGCATTCATGAAAGTTTTATTAGCTTTGAAAACAATGCAATCACAGGATAAAACATTGAAGAGGAATATGATACATTCCTGTCATCCTGTCTGTTCTAGTGAAAAAAAAATTTAAAAAATATATGAAAAACTTATGTTTCAAAGAGCCTGAACTCTAACTCTTAACTACAAAGCATGGCTTTGAGAATGACAAGTTTATAATGGAAGAATCTGCTATGCTGAAGATTGCTTCAAGACCTTGACTCGCCATTTCCATCTTACCACCCAGTTTCAATCATTTTCTCAATTATGCCTTTTCAGCTTGTACTTACTTTGTAAAATGTTTCACAGTTTGTACCATACTGCCTGTAAATACATCATTGAATAAATTTTTGATAATTTATCACAACGAACCAATGCTCAAGCCAAAGTCTGCTGCATTGTGATTTCTTGACTAAATTAATCTTTACACTTCAACAAAAGCTAACTTACACGACGACGGTATGAAAATTCGTCTCGGAAGCAACTAATCATCACACGTTTACTATTAGCATTTATTGTTGTTTAAAGCTATAAATATTGAACCAAATAATATAGAAAAAATTTTATAATTGCAAAAAATCATAGATTTAAGATAAAATATTTTGATTGAGTTATGTATAAAATTTTTTAAAAAAATGTCATTTTATTCTAAAAATTTATCAACTAACTCATAAAATAATAGATTTGTATATGAATCTCATAAACATAAAAATTTAAGTTTGTTTTTAAATCAAATTTTCTCTGAAGTACATCTAAAACTACATTTTAATGGGAAATTTTTGTATTTATAATCTCCTTTAACATGTTTACTAATTGTTTTCCCATGTTATTGTTTGAGAATATCAAAAAAAATGGTAAACAATAAAAATATTATGGGTCCAACAAAACATCGAATAAGTTTTTTCCAGTCTTTGGCATAATTATTTCAATTTGTAAATTTACAAAACACACACATCAAAATAAGATTACAAAAATTTTAACTGTCATCACTTTTTAATCAAAAATTATTACATTTATTTTAGGAAATATTTAATTTTGATATAAATAAATTTTAAAATGTTAGTTATTACTATTCATTTTAAATTATTTTCTTTTATATGTAGAAAGATTTGTGTTCTTCATTCAAAGAAGGATATATGGTTAATTTGAAATACAAGATTATAAACAAACACATAACTCAAAAAATTCTACTTATAAATTTGTAAAAAAAAAAAAAACACTCATTATTTATTGGATATAAAGTAAGTAAATTTTCTAGAGCTAATTTGGTATTCATTTATTATATGCATTATTATTTTTTTAACTGTAAATAAATATTATTTCAAGTTTTTTGCTAAACTAATACATGTAAATATTAATGACAGACAAAATTCCATTGCATATTCATTTATTCAAGTATATATTGTTTCAATCTAAGTTATTAAATATTCCTCTTCTATTATTCTATTATAAGAATGACTGAATGATATGAAAGAAAGTCTAATAATTAAGACAGCAACAATGGTACTTAAGCTGTTTATCCTAATAATAAAAATTTCGCTTTTTATATTTTAAATTAACTAATTATAATTATATTAAATGTATTCTATTAAAAATTATAATATTTTTATTAAAATATAATTTAAATGATGACATAAATAACATGGAATCATATATATAATAACCACTAAATAAATGTGATATACATACTACATGCCTGCTTGACAAAAACAAAACAAAAAATTTAAATTTGAGTTTAAATTGAAATCAAATTTTTTATCTTTTGAATTCACGCTAAATGCTCCACCAAGTTAATCACTCAAATTAATTATTAGGTTTCTATTTCATCTATTATTTGCTCATTAATAAATTAATGGTTCATTTATCTATGAAAGATTCCATGTTAAATGTTACTTTAATAAATAAGTGATACTGTTAAATCATAACATAAATAAGCTATATATATTTAATTTATTTGAGAATTTTAAGAGAGTCACTACCTGAATTGAATCTAAGTTAAATGAATTTAATTATGATTTTAAAAATAATGAATTCTTTTTATTACAAAAATTTGATATTGTCAAATTTTTAATTAATAAAACATTTAGAGTGGAATTTACGGCAAGTTAGTTTTAAAAATTTATAGAATGGAGTTTATTAAAATTTATTTGTGGTGTTTTAGACATAAACTTAAAATAATTTATACAATTGATTTAACAACAACTTTTAAGATATTTTCAATATATTTCAATATAATTTACATTTCATAAAGTAATAATGTGACATACAAAAGCAAATATTTGTTTTGTATATTTCCCAATTCAATTTGGCTATTGGAAATATCTATAATAATGATCATGATCCAATTATCNTTTACTAACACTGTAAATAACTTTTATTATTTAGGGGGTTCCCTTGAGATGTTTATGACAGAGGACCAAAAGAAATATTATAATGCCATGAAAAAAATGGGAGAGAAGAAACCTGCAAAAGCTATTCCTCGACCAAGGGTAATTTAAATTTTCACCACAGTACATTTTTATATAATACCTATTATTAATCAAAATAATAAATATTTATTATTTTCTTTTTCAGTTTAAATTACAAGCAGTTGTATTTGATCTAATTACTAACACAAAATTTGACATGGCAATCATGTTATTTATTGGACTTAATATGTTGGTGATGGCAATGGAACATTATCATCAGACTGAAACGTTTGACAGTATTTTAGAAAGATTAAATATATTCTTTATTGCCATTTTCACTACTGAGTGTGTATTAAAAATGTTTGCGCTTAGGTGGTATTATTTCAAAGAGCCATGGAATGTATTTGATTGTGTGGTTGTAACTTTGTCCATTTTAGGTAAGACATTTTATCTTTGGTTAAATTATTATGGTTAAAATGTTTTAATATTGTCTGTTAATCAATTCAAAATATACACAATAAATATGTTAATTTATTACAAATTAAACATATTATTATTTTAGCTTATTTTTTTATTACTTTTTAAGTTCATTTTGTTCTTTTCATTTTCTTTCATTATTAATTATTTTATATTATATTATATTATTATGCAAATTAATATAAAAATAACTTAAAGTAAAATCTGTTTATTTTTGGTCACATGTTTCCCTTTCCCTATTTACTATGTGTTAAAATGACCTAGTTTAATGCTAGTTTAACGCTTTGTCGTCTAGGAATTTATCCCTAGCATTAAGCAGTCTCTCACTGTAACTAGAAACTCCTTGTCAAGCATGATGGAATATTTTTTGAGAAAGCAGAGATTGAAGAATTGAGGAGAGTAGAGATTTTAAGAAATTCAAAAAGAGTTGCTAATATTTCTAATTGCTCAAGTCGAACTTGACATGGTCTGTTTCTGCAGCCTTTGACAAAACCATTGTTACTTGATGTTGCTCATCAGACTTCAGGGGTCTCAGTTGTTATTATTCTTTTAGATCTAGAATTTACCTGACCAATTTTACTATTACACTTTCCCCTAAGCATTTTTTTTTTTGGACAAAATAGCAAGTTTTTAAAATTCCACATTGATAAAACAACGATGAATTGTATGCAAGTTGAGCAACAACACTTTCTAAATAATGGGTTTATTAAATTGTCACTTCCAATTGGATAACAGAGTATCACATGGTCACTATGGAAAGCTTTTTAATTAATAGAAGTGACAGAATGCAGCTATCTTTTTTTTTTTTTTTTAAGTTTAAATTTAATAAAGTAAGTTTAAAATATGCCA